TACTAAAAATCTCAACACTAAAAATGGTACACATAATATAAACTATAGATTAATAGTAGAGCTACAATCGATTATCAAATAATTATATTTTGATATAAAAACCTCAAAAAAGATGCCGTGAGTCAATACCCATAGAGGGCCACATTAGCAAAATGCCACGCTATTGTTTAAATTTGCATAGCTCAAAAAATATACAGTCAAATAAAATGTTAAATAGCAAACAACACACTCAAAAATACATATATTCGTGTAATATACTCAAGTATAAGAAAAATGAGGAACTAGGTGTAATTAAATGCTAAAATGTACCTCAGAAACGTTTCAAAATATTTGAAATTAAAAATGCGTTATAATAAGTGCTGGTTATTAAGTAGTGGTATATACCATTAGTATCATGGTAACAGCGAGCTACTGAACAAATAATTTCATAAATAATCATAAGGATTAGTTATATAATAGCGGAGATATTAAGGGAGACCACAATATATACACTGGCCATAAAATATCACCTTCTCCTCTATTTAAACAAATATTGGGATATACGTTTCGGTTTATTTTGAACCATCTTCAGTATATACTATCGTATAATTATTAGAGAATGGTGCTCGTTTATCTATTGCCACTTGTATTGCATTCTGCTATATATCGCAGGAGCAAGCACAAATATATATCACAAACAACATCGTATTTATGTGCACATGTGTAATCAGCTGATTGTTGTATGCCGCACGTACGAGGCATATCGCGAACCAGATGATATTTATTGGTCTCTGTGCATCATAAGATGGATATGTATTCCAATGCTAGGCGCGGCGTCATTAATTCACTTTCGACATATTCGGTGTCATAATCTAAACTGCGTCGGCACGTCGGACTGGACGTGCAGGAATTCCAGCGTCGGCAGGAGACGGTGGCACAAATATCCCCAAGTTGATTAGAGCCCTTCGACTGATATTGGAATCTCTATGGCGCTATTTAATTAATGATCGCACGCGGGTATAATCGGCGCATTCGTTCGAGAGCGAGAGGAGGGAAATCGGAGGGACGAGATATTATGGACAGTGGAGCTTTAACCCTCAGGCTTTCCTTGCTGAAGACGATTAAAGTTGACGACTAGTAGCTAAAGGGAAGCTAAAGAAGGTAAACTTAACAAATTATGAATGCACATAGCGAGAAGACGCTGCAAAGCAAATGCGGACGGTCGTATTGTCTGCTGCACCCGAAGTATGCGATGTTATTTCGTTTGTGGGATGACAAGCAAGGTATACGCGATGTTTGTTCTGCTCTTAAAGCGGCGCGATGGTTGGTTTAGTTCTGTAACCAGGGTTCGTCGCACGCGCGAGTTTCCTCCTGCTATCTCTGCGAGCGCTTTAACTAATTCTCGCAAAAGATATTTCCTTAACAAAAACATGCAGACACTAACGGTTACCATTTTCTTCCCCGGTATATATAAGGTGATACTGGCGCGATTTTTATTACTCTTGTAGTTTCCTACTGCGAAAGTGCGCAACGCTAGTTTTCGCCCTTTTCCTCTCTTTCTCTTCGATGTCTATCTTTGTTTCTTTCACTTTTCTCATGCCTCTTCCTGCTTCAGCCGTGTTCAAATTCTCCAATGGTCTCTCGTGTCGGTGCATTTACCGTACGAACTTTTTATTTCCTAACAAGCAACGTGAAAGTCACGTACGCGCCGGGTTACGAAAGTCTCTGTACAATTCGGGAAAATTGAACTCTATGCGCCGGTTCAGATATATAGCAATACAGACTTTCTGCTTAACGAAGGGTCACCGAATCGTGATGGAAACTGGCTCAAACGTGTGTAAAAGAGATTCCATCGGTGCACGTTTGTGTACTTTTTGAGATCGGTTGCGAAATTACTATAAATATTTCTACACAAAAGTTGCGTGAAATATACAACAGCGTGCTAAATCTCAAATAGATCTTTCACATTTTCTTTTAAATCAAAAGTAAAGACCAAAGGAATTTTGACTAATATTGGATATGTCATTTAACAAAATATAAAAATGAATACTATTTATTACTGGATATTTATTACTGGATGTATATATTTATTTAAAAGCTTATTTAATTAACGTTCCAAAGTATCCGACCAATGTTTTGCAAGGCAAATAAACGCAATAATTCATATGATATTACTTTTGTAATGTTTTAATTAACATTTTACTGCTAATATTGTAATTTCATAATGTTTCAATATATACCGTTAATAGAATTCCTCCACTAAAATTTGTTTTTTACAATAGGGTAAACTAGGCCATACGGAAAAGATGGCCATAGGCCATTTCTCCAATAATTGATAAATAGTGCATTTTTATAGTCATTCTTAAAGATAATCAATATTTACAGTAGTTCATATGAGTACACTGTTCAAAATAACAATATTATAAATATTATCTAATATTTTTTCTTTCGACTATCTACAAAGTTTTGCACGTGCCTGCTAAAAACTGTTATAATGCCTAATAAATTACAGTTAAGCTGCCATAATCAACATTACATACAGAATAAAGGTATGTAAATTGCAATGTGACCTATAATTAATACTTTTATTTTCACTATTTATTCATAAATACTATGGCTATCTTTCTTAATATCATGGCCATCTTTTCCTTAAAAATCAGATAAGATGACCAATGCATACTTTGTAATATTTTGATCAAATTAAAGTTCTGGTAAGTATTTTCTCTTTAATTTCGATAGTATTTGTTACTTTAAGCTTCAGTGAAAGTAATATCCCAAATATTGTTAAAAAGTAACAAGAATAAATGTATGTTTTTTGCATTTTAAAAAACTATGGCCATCATACCCGAGTTTACCCTAATAACGATATAACGACGAAGAATATATTCAAATGCGTAATATAATTATGTGGTTCTGATCTGATTTCATTTTTCCGTTAAAACTTGTCGGTCTTCTTTGAATTTGCATATTTGTGAAGTCTTGCAACGATTTAGTTCTTCTCATAAATACTAGATTGAATTCAGATCCGGGGATTGGAAAGATCAGTGCCTAAGATTTTATATTATTTGAAGACAATTATTCTCTCTCTCTCTCTCTCTCTCTCTCTCTCTCTCTCTCTCTCTCTCATTGACTATCTTTAAGGTAGTGAGAATCGTTATGCTAAAATATTCATTTTATGGCATTTTTCTTTTAACATATAATAGTAAATAACAAAAAATTTGAAGATATTCCTATACATAACATTATTCTTAACACCGAACCAACTCTTTCAGCCAGTTCAATAATGCCTTAAAGAAATACATTTTCAGTAATAAATAATTACATTTCTTATATTTTTTTAAAAAGAACGCACTCTCTTACATACAATACTAATCAAATTCCATTGGTCTTCGCTTTTGAAAGAAAACATGAAAAATCCATCTGACTGGAAATTTTTGCACGCAAGATATAAGAAGTAATACATTAAAAAATTAGAAATGTTTCATGTATAGTGTACGTACGTATTCCATCGTAGTATTTCACAATCAATATCAATTAGAAACAGAAGAAAAAGAATTTAGAGATATTGTTTTCTCTTTCTTTTATAAAATATATTATGTATAAAATATGTAAAAAATAATAAATAACAAATCTTCCTCGAGGAAAATAATAAATTAATAAATGGTAAAATAAAAGCAACTTATAATTATAAAATATAATTTTTATATTTCTTGTATATAACGTGCGTGTATATTTTATAAAAGAACAATATCACGATTTTCTTTCTATTTCTAGTGGATATCAATCCTGAAATACTGCAGCCGGGTATCGTACCTTGTCGGACACGGGAACAGGAAGAATGTCGTACAGGTTGAAAAGGGGAAGTACAACATCACGGAAGGATTTGTGGCTCCTGCTTGTGACAGCTTTGGAATCGTCCATCATGGTATTAAACAATTTATCCGTCGCGCTGCTATACGCTCGCGTTAGTAGCGCGGTGTCTCGTACGAGCGACATACGCTCACGCGCAAAACGTTGATTGAAATTTATTGAAACGTGTTTTCTCCTATATTCGTACAAATATTTAGCTGCTGGATGCTCTCTTTGAAGCACTATTATTATTAGAAACACCTCATCAGAGTATTAACAGTCCGAGAAAATAACATGAGCTGAAATGATATGATGAAAGTTCGAAGTCTCATATAAAGATATTAACGCATTTGAAATTATAAAAATATATCTCTACAATATTTTAACTGTAAGATAGTAATATGAATAATAAGATATAAACAACAAATTTTTAATGAGATTCATTCGAATTTCATGTGCATAGCACGCATACAACGCATACAAATCTGATGGTTTTTTCTGCGTCAGGTTAAATATTTGTACAAATCGAGCGGAAACGAGCGCTTGCTATTATATCGGATATCGTTTATTTTGGACGCCGGCCAGATCTTAGCAGCCGTAATTTACGGTAAGCCATCGCAGCACGTTTCTTTCCCCTTGGGGTTGTCTCTCGAGGCGAATCTGGCAAGTGATGCTGTTAAAGAGCAACGATGGAGCTTCCCGGCGCAGATTTGCTCTCCTTCGACAATGCCTATTCTCGGGAAAAGTCGAGAGGCAGGTGGCGATGCTACGACATTGTGGAGAATATATGTGGGGACGGTGTTATGAAAAATTAAAATACGTCCCGTGGGTATATTTACGGCGAGAACGTCACGGTCTTACGGTGCAAATAAGCATCGGTCTCTGTCATAAAAACAATGCAAATTTCTGCAATATTTCAAATGTGAGTTTATGAAAATAAATAGTAACATTGATATTAAATACACTTATACAAAATTGTATACTTTGCATGTTGTCATCTAATTTTATTAATGACGATTATTGCGCTATACTCGTTCAGTTACCTGTTTTATACAAGTAATCCAAGTATATGCTGCCCGATATAATCCAAATAGTTCAAAGTTGGTATTATATGTAATTTACGTAATATACACCTATACTGGTGTAGAGAAATGCAAAAGAGGGAAGCTTACCGAGTTGATATAGTTGGTAAGAGACAAGCCGCCATCCCAGGGGTGCTCGAGCTCGCAGGAAATATTGGCGGGCCTTAAGGCATGGGATTGCTCTAAGGTACGTAATCCTACCGCGAACACCTGTACACTGTCATATATTAACGCTGGTTCGGCCTGCAAAAATATGAATCTTAGCTTTATTCACTGCTAATGCTCACCCGATATACAAAGCATGTAACTTAAAAGTACGAATATTTCTAGCGCTATTAATTAAAGTTTTAATGGAATTATTTTGCTTAAGATCTTGAAGCAACTTACAAACATCTCCAAAAAAAAAATTTTATTTAATTATTAACAATAATAAATGTAAGAGAAACATTCTGGAAACGTTTTTTTAATATGATGTATTTAATTGAAAAATGTAAAATCACAATAATTTGAGACAGAAATGTTAATTATTAATAGCAATTTCAACTAATTAAACACACATCACTTATAAACAAATACAATTAATTGAACGTAAAGCGAGTGAAATGTGAGAATGCAAAAGGATTTTCGAAAAGCAAACGGGCGCGAATTATGTGCAGCACGTAGCGAAATGCTCCGGTTATTAATTGTAACGCTATTAGTCACGTGTGTGCGTTTATTTCCATGAATTATGAAATTCATGGTACGTTGCCGTGTCGAAGTTACGCGCCAGTTCTAATCTAGTCGTCACGACGACGTCGCGTTCTCGCCGGAAACGTCGACGGAAAATGTAATATTCAGTGAGAAGAGACTACGGAAGATTTGATGGCGGCGTTGCATGAATTAATTTCGTTCACACGTTATTTATTCTTGTCTCGTCGAAAATTCGTTGATCACTTTTTTTTACCGTGAATTGCTTTGCTTCTTTTTTCCTTCTTTTTCTCTTCAATTGTATAGTTACATATACAATAGTCGCCGGAAAAAATCATTTTTACAACAAAAAATATATATAGTTATAAAACTAATGCACCATTTTTATATCGATAATTTCTTCAAACTGTCTTCCGTACGTTAAAAATTATGATTCCACGCACGCATTATAGCATTAATAGATTAACAGTTTATATTTATTTAGATGATTAATTGTAGAACTAGTATTTTCATATTAGTTTGAATAATAGGCTGAAGAAATTATTAATATAACGGCATGTTATCGAAACAATTAGTTTCATGACTGTATATATCGCAAATTATTATTAACTACAAAGTTTGCCATAATAATTATATCATGTATCTTTTTGTAAGTGAAATACATTCTTTTGACAAATATGTTACGCATAAATCTAAACAAAAATATCTCGGGTATGGTGACAGATACGACAAAATAAATTATGGTTGTTAACCATAATATAATAATGTAAGAAAAGGATGTTATAAAATATTAAATAAAATTTAATAAATCCAATATATTACAAAAAATGTTCTATAACGCATTATAAGGCCAGCGTATCTTAAAACCTCTATATTATTATTATTATTATTATTATAACTATTTCGATTCTTCTTGAGAGATTTAAAAGAAAGATTCTACATGTATCCGACACCGTATATATTACCGTCATTAAAAAACGATTCTAACGTCTAGACTTGTGCATAACTTTTTTATCAAAGAGTAAATTTAATGCAAGAACGGGCAACATGATCAAAGCTGTGTTACGCTCATTATCTATTCGCGTTTCACAGAAATTATTAGTATTTATTGTGTAGTAGTATTATTAAAATCCAATATCGAAATATTAATAATGCGTGCTTTTCACATTGAATACTAAATTGTAATAATATATTTCTATTACTCTAGCAATTGCATTTCGTTATGCGTTACAATGGAAGAATAATAATATCTACCAATAAAAATAAATAATAATAATGAAGATTTACTTATCAACAAATAAATGGCTTAAAAATCATTGTAATTAAATCATTCGTAATAACATTTATGAAAACCAACAAACAAAAGGTTATTCGAGCAGGTATCAGTTTATAATTAGCGAAAAATTGCTAATAATATTGTTCAATATAAAAAAACAATAGTAAGTAAAATGTTAACTCAACCTTTTGTACTAAGTAACATTTTGTTATTTTTAACTTCCATGAGTGTCAAAATATAAATCAATCCGTTTCTGTAGTAGAATTTTTTAGTTTCAAAAATAAATGACATTCACATTAACGTATGTCCTTAGTAAATAAAAGACTGTGAGAACTTGATTGTGTAAATCAAATTTAATATATTTTTTGAGTTATGTCGTTTAACTCTATTGTTTTAGTTAAATTAATGACATATTAGAAGAGTAGTGACGACTCATAGAAATAATTAAAAATAATTCCAGTTGGGTATTTTCAAGGAGCTATCCAGAACTTTAAAGAAAATACCAGGAAAGATCCGTGAAAAGCTTTTTGTACATAATTTGACATAATAAATTTAACAATGTACCGATCATAAAACGTCAAAATTTCACTACAATCACGATGTGGGAGGGACTGTTAGTTTCCGGGACATTTTTAGTGGGAGCTTCTGATGGTAGCGATCAATGCGAGGTAGTCACGTCGCGAATTGATTTCACTCGTATTTCAGAGTCGTGAAAGGATGCTAAGCACGACGCGACCATTCCGCTCGCGACCGCTTCTCGTCTTCATTTCCTTCCCTTTCCCTACACCTTCCTTACACCGCGCGTCCTGGAAGGCACGTATTTGAGGCGGACAAACACGCGGAAGCATCCAGGAAACGACCGGCGCCCGTGCTTAGTCTTGTACGTCTCTTCATCACTCGCTATATGCTCGCCCTTTCTGTTAGACGAGTAGGTTGTGAAGGAGCTTTGTTTGCCATGGGCTAAAGTGCGACGTGTCCCCGCACCTTCCCGTACGTTGATCCAATATTGTGTTTACGTTGATGACACGCGAATTTACCGCGACTAATCAACTTTTCCAAATTTTAACCAACTCCAATGTTCTCATTTCGGGTTTCCTCAGTTTTCCACGAGTGGCAAGTTTTTCACGGATCTTTCTTGGCATTTTCTTTAAAGTTCTGGATAGCTCCTTGAAAATGCTGACTATTGTTCTCAACGCTCGAAGCGATGAAACGAAAAATAAAATGAAAGAGTTCCGACAATATTTTGATTCTCGAACAGAAATTTTTTAAATCTCCAGGATAAAATTTTTCCTCGGCAGAAAATACTCTCGATATAATTGATAAGTTGTCGAGCAATGTATTTCAGTACAAATAAAGAAAGTGACATTGTGATCGCGTGTAAGCAATATCTTCGTAATGTAGTTTTTCGAACACCGAGAAGAGCTTTTCGATGAACAGTAAAGCTTTCTCATGCTGCATCCCCAGAGAATTAAGAACCCGATAGATACCTAACTGAAAGGTGGTACTTTTATTATTTATATTATGCTAAGATTATTTGGATTTACCGTGACTTCTTCAAAGTATTAGTTAACTTAATCAAAAGAAACTATGGATAGAATTATACAATTTCTCAGAAATTATTTTCGAAAATGAGATTTTAGAACATTTATAATTACTTTCATGGAGTTTAACGAGAATTTTAATATACCATTAATTCAAAATGGTTCGCATCCTTAATATGCTTATATCATTATGTTTAAATAATTGAATTATTAAATTATGAATTGTTAATAATTAAATTATTAACTTATGAATTATTAATAATTGAATTATTAAAACTAATACTCTTATTAATCATGAGATATTTAAGCTTAGTAATGAAACATTTACAATAATTCGCGAACTATTATATGAGATGAGTAAAAAGTTACGCGTGCAATTTTGTTCAATATTAGTTTACAAATTATCGATGTCAAGCGCGTTGCGGTTTTACAATTACGCTAAAACCTCCAGTGATGCGCGGGGCAGTAATAATCTGGAATGAGAATTCGCCGGAAAGTTTGTTCATTCGCGTGAAAGTTGATGAACTGGCGCTAACGTAATTTATGCGGCAGGATACACAAACGCACGAGCACGACAGGATGAAGCGAGTGTGACTCAGGTGGGTATGAGCATATCCGGCTTGTCTTACCTCTGCCTGAGGCAAACAATAAAGCTCCAACAAACTATTTGTAGACGTAAATCTCATCTCACGGCGAACTTGAAATCTGTCTGAAATAGCTTACGAGTTAACTGCGGGCAGTTACACTCTCGTTGCTTTTTTTGCGGTAGCAAGAGTATGTTGTTCTAAAAGACCAGAAACTTGCAGATTTGCCTGGGAAATGATCGGATTCGTTACACAGCGGTGAGAAATTCCTAAAATTCTTTCAGTACAAGCAAACATTCTTTAGTGAGCAAAGCAAATGATTTGTGGTTTGGAAATTCCCCCAAGAGTTGATTCGGAATCAATATTATTTCTCTATCTTTTAATAACTATTTAATATTTTTTCATTATATTTTTGAAATGGAATATTGGATTTATTTTAATATTACATTATAATTAACTAGAATAAAATAAGGTAAATCTTATAAAATATTTATAAAGTTTTTACTTATATTATAATATAAGTATCTGAAATAGAAAACATCCACATTCTTGTATGAATTAATGAAGAAACAATACATATCGCTAATTTTTACCAATCTTGGTGAAAGCAAAATCACACATCAGTCCTACATATTAAACCCGAAAAACCTTTCATTAATGCGCAGGCAAGCTATATATATAAGTATTGATCTCTTCATAAAGAGATTTCAGTCAATTTCTATTGTCTATTATTTCTATCTTTCATCAATTAACGTTAACGAGAAAAATCACTTTAAAACGCGTATACGTTGAAGTATCATGAGACGTTTCTGTCGATGAAGATATCCGAGGATATAATAACGTAAATTACTTATACTCTGTTAATGTTTGCATTAGATAACATCAATTTTTGCAGATATTAATGCTAGTGCAAATTGATGGCTTTCTAGGCAACTGAAATGATTACATGCACATCAATCAATTAACGATCCTTACTCTATGAAATTTCGTTCATTATTACATATCTCATACCGCGAAAATTCCGATCTATGATTATGGATGTAACACGAATAATTCGTGCAAGATAAAATCGTATCCTTGTTGTAACGCGATTCAACACATACGCGGGTTTTTGTTTATTGAAATAATATCCGATGCGTGCGGTATTGAGTTGTA